CAAACCCCTCTCTCCAGCCCAGGGAGGTACAAGGTAGCCAACTGGCAGAGGCTGAAGGCTGTTGGTCAGTCTTGAACTTAGCAGTATCTGGGCCAGGAGTCCCAGGGCATAGGGCTTGGGGAAAGGACCAGTTATTACTTCCATTCGCTTCCTGGGATAACGAGATGATACATTTCCCTGTTCTCTTTGGGGCTGACATGGGGGGTGTCCTGTGGAGGCCTTGCTTTGTGACATGTCTCCATTCTCCTTCAGAGAATGCTCAGGGGACTGGGCACAAGGAGCAGCAGTGGTCACCCAGGGGGTCACCCGGGCTGTGGGACAACATCTGCCAAGAAGACGACTATGGGCTGGTGGCCAACAAGAGGAGGTCCTACTCCTTTACCTCAGGTACGGCTCTAGTTTCACTGTCACTGCCAGGAGATGGCACCACTGCCTTTGTTCTCACAGACAGCCAAGGGCACATGCGATGCTGCTCCAGCACCCACCCGATCCCATATACCTGTGCCCTGGGCTGCAGCCCTCCGCCTGGGGAGTGCTCTGAGGGGCTGGCAGGGCCTGCTGGCACCCTGCCCTCCCCACTGACTGCTCCTTCTTGCAGCGACCTACCAGAAGATCACCCCAGTGGTCATGCACAAGGAGCCAGTGGAGGCCGGGAGCAGCTACTCAGTCACCCTGTACATAGGGGAGCAAGTGCCAGCCATGCCCCGGGCACGCTGTCACTCCTTTGTGGCTCAAACAGGGAGCCCCCGGGACACGCTAGGGGAGAAGACTACCAGCCCCCTTCGCCCCAAGAACAAATCTGTTTTCAAGAAGTTCTTCGGGAAGAAAGAGTGAGCCCCAGCCACAGGGGAAAAAGGTCCTAGCCTGCCTTTTATCCTTCTCTGGGCACCATCCCGGCATGGTCTCTGCTCCCAGCACCAGTTCACAGCTCGCTGCCTCCCCGTGGGAGAGAGGCTGTGGCAAGCAGCTCCACTTCAGCCAGCCCCCTAGGGCTGCACTGTGCCCCAGCCACCACAACCCCTGGCCTCAGCCTGGTGCTGAGCAGCCCTCCTGCCCAGTGTTCTCACCGAGTGCCACTGGCTCCCCAGGCATCCTGCCGACACACAGCATAAGCAGAGGGGGATGGATGATTGTTTTTATTAAAAAATAAACAGCCGCTTACTCTGGGATCTCGTTCATCCAGCAGCACCCATCTGCACAGGAGGGGCTCTGCAAGGTGGTCCTTGCTAAGGAGTGGGGGGAGCTTCAGATGAGAAAGGCCCTGCAGCAGGCTGTAGTCTTGCTTGGGAAGAAGCCTGAGCCGTCTGGTGCCTCTCACAAAGATGCTTTGTCCTGTGATTCTTCTGTGCCTGCGCCCAGCCCAGATAATCCTAGAGGGCACCTGGGCCCCTTTTCTCTGCCATGGGAGCTTGGCGGGGAAATCACTACCTACAGAGTAAATCCTGCTGCCTGCACAGCCCTGCCAGGCCTGCCCTGCTTCTCTCGCAGAATGGCTGCCAGCCCAGGTCACAGCAGGTCAATGCTGTGTGCCACGGAGGGGGCCAGGGGAATGTGGCTGGACCTCCAGGGCTTCCTGCAGCCCAGATATTTTTGAAGTAACTTCACCAAGCCATGCCAGTTTGAGCTGCCCCAGTACCTGCCTGGACTGGGAAGGGGAAAGAGCAGCTGGTACAACCTGCCTTGAGCATGTACCAGCCCTGGGGGGAGAAGAGGAAGTTTCCAGGGACGTGGGTAGCAGGGCCTCTCCCTGGCAGGCTGCGAAGCTCGGCCATGCACACCGCTCGCCTCCTCAAACACATTGTGGGGCTTAAAATAGAAGTGCTGGCTGCAGCCCAGCTCTGCAGGGGCTGTGAGAGGAGAAATGCTCCTGCCACTCCATCTCCCTCATGCAGTGTTCCTGGGGCTGGGGACAGGCAGTGAGGTAGAGGTGGGCACACCAGTGTCACCAACAGAGGGGCTTTCTCCACATTCCCAGTGAGATGTGGGAAGAAATGCTGGTGACAGTGCTGGTGTGTGGGCAGGAGTGTGCTTTCTGTGCTTCCCCTGTGCCTTCCCACCCTCTGCTTGGCTCCATCACTCTTGGCTCTGACACCTGTTTTCCTCCGACACCAAAGCTCAGCTGCCTGCACTTCCTTAATGGGAAGAGACGAGTCGGATGGGAGGGCTGGGCAGTGGCCAGGCCTGGCCAGGCCAGGGAGGAGGCCAAGGCACAGCATTCCGGCTCTGGCCGCACATACCAGGAGAGCAGCTGGTGGGTTGGTGCCAGTTCATTCCTGAGCAGCTGAGGGGCCCGGCAGAGGGGGCAGTGGGTGCAGGGTGCTCTACTGATGGCCCCCCTGCTGGCCCCACGGGGTCAGTGCTGACCAGTGGTGGGGTGGGAGCTCAGCAAGTGTCACGAGCCATGTCCTTAGTCCAGCACAGCAGCATGGAGTGACATGGGCCATCAGAGAGGTGACTCCATCCCAGCAATGATGCTGGCACCTGCAGCACCCCACTGCCCCCGCCAAGGTGGCTGTCCACCACAGCCTCCCCTCTCTCCTTCCCCTTGCTGGCAGTTGGCCCCACTACAACCCTCTGACGAATCCCGCTTATAGTTCTATGGCAGAAGCCAATTCCTCCCCGCCTCCTGCTAATCTGCCCGTGCATGCAGCCTCTACCTGCTAAGCCAGCGGAAGCTGTGCTCAGCCAGCCCCAGCCAGCACCAGGGCTCTGAAACCCACTCCAGCTGCAAAGCCTGGGGGGTAGCAAAGCTTCTGCACCCTGGTTCTGCTGCTGTTCTGGGAAACCCTGAGCCTGCTGGGCACCAGGCAGCGAGGAGATTGCAGGCAGCATCATCTGGCACCAGAAGAGCTGAGCCATCGAGGTAAGGGCAGGGTGCAGGCAGGGAGGTGAGCAGAGCATGCACTGTCCCTACTGTGCCTCGTTTCCCTCGGTACCAGGAAAGGGTGTCTGGCTCCAACCCCCTCCACTGAGCCAAGGTCTTGTCCTGCATTTTGGCTGCTCGGCAGTTCTGCTGCAAGGTCACTCTGCAGCTGGGGGCCTGTGCTGAGCTCTGTAGCCATCTCACACTGCCTCCAGTCTGAGACTGGAGCTTTCCAGTCCCATAGCTGCAAGTAGGGTTCGGAGCCTGGCACCAGTGCAGGGGGGAGCGAAAAGGGGAGAAGCAGTGGAGGGACTGGCTGCCAGCACCTGCCCTCCTTGCCTGGGCAAACTGGCAGCACGGCGATGCCCCCCTCCCGGGGCAGGCACCCCTGCCTGCTCCAGCCGGAGGGAAAGCAATGGGAAAAGCCGTAGCACCGGCCATCCCTGTGCCGGGGCTGCGGCGGCGTGGCGAGCGCTGCAGCATCCCTCTCGCTGGTGCGGACGCTGCAGCTGCGGGCAGCGGGGCAGAGCGGGGTGCGAGGGGTGACAACAGCGGGCTGCAGCGCAGGCGGCCCCGAAGCTGAGGGCTGTCCCAGCCCGCCCGCGAGGTGCCCTTGGCGCGTCGGGCAGCGCTAGGACCCGGCGTGCCGCGGCCGGCGCCGCTGGCACCGGGCGCTGCGGGACGGGACCGTGCCGTGCCGGCGGCGGCGCCGCGGGAAGGAGCCGGCAGCGCCCGGGAAAACATGTAAGCGACGCGGCGGAGCCCCGGCTGCCACGGGAACGGGTGGGTGCTGGGGCGGTCCGGGGCCGCCGGCAGCGGCGGCGGCAGCGCTCGGGGAAGCCCTGGCAGCCGTCCCGCGGCTGTGCGGGGCAGCCGGGGATGAGGGGGTGGCAGGCTGTCCCACTGGCTCTCCGACCCCGACAAGCTCGGCCCCGCTCCTGCCGGTGATGGGTGCTGCTGCTTTCCCTTCCCCTCTCTCTGCGGGACCCCCGCGGGGTTGGGCAGGGGGCCCGTCCCGAGAGTACAGTGCCACGGGGCTGTAAAGGCCTCCCTGCCGCCACCCCCCAGCACAGGAGGGTGGTGTTTGGTTACCCTGCCCGTACAGATGTCACTCCAGGGCTGACATGGCCTCTGCTTACGGCCCCGTCGCCTTCCTGTGTCAGTCCCAGCCTTCCGTGATCGCTGGCTTCCTCCCTGCCCCGATAGTCACGTATGTTCCTGTATAGCCTCGGGGGTGCCTGCAACCACAGGGAACACTGCCAGCGAGCCTTCCACGTTCCTGGAGGCCCTGGGGCTGTGCCACCGTTTGCCTCCCTGCCAGAGCTTCTTCTGCAGCCCCATTCGTCTCTCAGAGGCCTTTTGTCCCAATAACTGGGCACTCTCCCATGACCCTTTCTATTTGTAGGCTGACCGCTGGGAGCTTGCCCTCCGCCCTTGCACCTATCCCCATGCAGCTCCTTTCTCCCCAGGCACCATTCCCGGCTGCCCTCAGCGTGATTTGGCCCAGTGCAGAGGTCCTGGCTGCCCTCAGAGTCCGAGGCACGGCCTCAGGCTTATTTGGAGGACCCTGACCTCGTGTGCAGGGGAGAGAGAGATGAAGGTGCAGGCAGAGTAGGGTTTGTGGCATGGCCCTTGACTCCACATCCATGGTGCCTCTCCAGGTCAGAGCAGTTCTCTGCTGTCCCACTAAAGGTCTTAATGCAAGAGGTAAGAAAACAGGCTCCCCATTGCTGCTTGATGTCCTTATCCCTTCACTGCCCTGGTACTGTCTTGGAGAGGAAGTATGTGCTTTAAGGGCCACAATGGATGGGGAAATGCAGGGAGCAGGGGAAGCTGGCTTCCTCCCTGGGTGGTAGGAGATAGTGAAACTCATCCGTCATGGTCCTCAGGCTTGTGCAGGAAGATGATGGAGGATGCAGTGGAGGAGCACAGCCACGTGCTGCTGCTGGCCTGCTAGCGCTGCACCAGCTATCTCATGTACAGACATACAAGAAGCCCCCCACTCCCTGCCAGGAGTGGCTGGAGCATCCCTGAAGGCAAGCTGAAGTATGGCACTGGGAGTAGCAGGACGGGAGATGCAGGCAGCAGTGGCAGAGCAGCCTGTCCTGCTTCAGAGAGGGCAGCCCTGCTCTGAGCTACCATCAGCAACGAACCACTCCAGGGCTCTCTGGGAAGCTAGGCTTTTGTGGAGCTCTTTTTCTTCTTGAGATGCCTGGCTTTTTGCAGGGAGCCCAGCACCATCACGACTGCAGATATAAAGCAGGGCCAGCAGCAGTACTGCTGGGCACTGCACAGCAGCTCAGCCCCGCTGTGAAGCTTCCCAGCTCTTCAATCCCGGGACACAGCACTAGCAAAAACCAGGTGAGACTTTTTCACCTGCTTGCAGACTCTGGAGATGGTAGTTTCTGTGGGGAGAGGGGAGAAGACAGGGAGTAGGTGATGTCTGAAGCTTCTCCTCAGAGGGGGGTCTTTTTGGGAAGCCAGCCACTGTAGTCAGGGCTGACTTTTGTCTTCCGGCTTGCCAGAAAGAAGATTTACTGGGTCTGGGCAGCAGTGTTAGAAGAGCAGGCTGTTTCCCCGGAGACTGAGTCCCTATCAGCTGAGTATGGAGTCAGCCTGAGGCCATGAGCCCCTGGGAAGGTAGTGACAGGAACCCCTCTTGTCCCTGAAGCACTTGGCCAGTGGTACAAAGATGCTCCTGGATGCCTTATAGCCCAGAACCAAGGGAAGAAGCTGGCAAGCTGCCTTTTGAGAAGTAAGCTATGCTGAGGAGGTGCACCTCATGCCTTTCTGTGTCCCATCCCATCCATGTGAGATTCAGGGTTCTCAGAGGATCAGCCAGGACCCCTTTCTCTGTGGCCCACAGCTGAGCAGCAAGCACAGCCCTACAGGACAGGTATTGTGTTCAGAGTGACTGTCACTGTGTTGTATCTTCATGTGATCCACCCTGACCCTGAAATCTGCTTCTTAACATTCTCTCTGCCCTTCTGCACAGTGTGTTACCTACAAGCAAACTGCCCTGCTCCTTCAAACAGCCTTCAAACAAACAGCCTTCAAACAAACAGCTTGAGCTTCTTCCCTGACTTACCTGAAACTTCCCTGCTTACCCTCAGATTTCCTGGCTCCCACTCATCCCCACTCCCGCCATGGGTTAGCACAGCACACACAACAAGCCCACACTTTGGGTTGCCTTGTCCCACTTTGCTCACTTGGCTCCCACTGCCAGTGATGCCCCCGTGCCCCTGCTGCAGCTCACTGCCTCCTCATCCTCACAGCGAACCCAGCCATCAGGCCTGTGCCTGTCCTTCCCTAGCACCCAGCCCGAGGGGTGGCGTGGGATGCCTACCCACTCGGAATGCGGGACCCTCTCCCGGCAGCAATCAGCTCCCCACAGCTGGGAGAACACCACTGCGGCACATACACACATCTCCCCCCCCGCCCCTTTTCCGCTTTCCCACACTCCCTCCCGCATTCCGCGGAGCCGCTTAAGCCCGCGGGCCGGCTAATTCCTTCCCCGTGGGCTCCCCGTGCTGGCCGGTCACGGGAGGCGAGGGGGCCCACGGCTGCCCCGGGCCGCCGCCAGGGGGCAGCACGGGCACGGTGGGTGCGGGGGTCCCCGCAGAGCCCTCGGGGGTCGGGCGGCTCCGCAGCGAGCATGGGAAGGGGCCAGGAGCCGGAACCTGTCCCATTAGGGGACAGCCGAACTCCGACGGCTTCTCCCAGCAGCGTGAACACGGGGCACTGCAGGCACCCAGCAGTGTTTCCCAGCCTCATGCCTGAGGGGTGCAGGACCCCCCGGGGTTCCTTCCTCCCTGGTCCGTGTTAGAGCATCCTCTGCCCACGGGTGGACACTCAGCTTTGCAGAGGGGCTGAGGAAGGGAGGGAGGGCGGTCCCAGTGGTACTTGGATGATCCGCAACAGATGGACCGCTGGTCATGGGTTCGGCCCGCCCTCCTTTTGATGTCCAATGGTTGTGTTCTGCCGGGTGGCCTGGGGGCCGCGTCTCGGCTTGGGAACCCATGGAAGCATGACTGGCAAGGAGAGGAAATGATCAACGGCTGGTACTGTTGGAAGCTGTGGGAAAGGGCTCTCCTGGAGACCTCCCTGGGGGATGTTTGGGAGCATTCAGCCACAGCTCTGCCGCTGATTCGCCCAAGGGGGAAAGCATGACAGGATGGGCTTAGTCTCCAGACAGGATTTAGTCAGCCCTGCCAGACGTTTGCACAGAGCGGAATTCCTCCACGCCAGCCAGCAACTGTCAGGTCAGGGCCAGACACGGTGCTGGCATGGCTGTAAGAGTTCCTGGGCCTGTGTTTGGAGCCCTTGTCTCTGCAGGTGGCCATGTGCCATAGTCTCCGTGGTGCCAGTGGCCACAGAGCCTGCCCAGGGAGGAGGCTGGATGGGAGAGCAGGCAGGTGCCTTGGCCCTGCGCTGCCACGCAGGATGGGCAGCCACCAGCTGCAGCAGCACTCCCTGAGAGCCAGAGCGTGGCCCTGCCTGCTGTCACCAAGGTGCCTTGAGAAGGCTGATGGGGACCCATGGCTTCAGGCTATCCTTTGAGGCTGGGATTCACCCATCCTTCAGAAAGTCATCTTCTGCCTTTTAGATGAGATCCAGGGAGCTGCTGGGCACCGTGCTGCACTGGAGTGGGGATAGGCTTTGCAGGGAGGGAGAATAGGACCACATAGAGGCTGCTATCCCTTTTCCTCTTGCCAGGTTCCCTCATTCCCAGCAGCCCACAGCTCCCCTGTGGTGTTTTACAAATGTGGTTAAGTGCCAGCCAGCTCCTTCCTTAATGGCTGTGCCCCTTCGTGGGAGACTGGTGCTGCCAGCTAAGGAGCAGGATGTGCCCCCGGCACTGCTTCAATGGGCCAGATGACCTTGACTATAGTGTGGGTCCCTCTGCCCACGCCAGTTCCACCCTCTGCCAAGGAGACCTGGTGTGACTCCATGACAGAGTGACACTGGTGCTTGGAGTGGCCCGTCCCCCAGGACTACCATTTCTCAATGCCACAGAGTGTTCCTGCCTGTCTCCTCTGGTACGGCTGGAAGCCTAGCCTGTGTGTCTTGAGTTTACCCAGGCCTCAGCTCGGGCCCTGGCAAGTGGAAACTGTGTGCTGTGGGGCAACATTTTACCTTTGGCTGGTGGCTGCACAGCTGTCACTCAACTAGCCACAGAGCAGCTCCGCAGCTAATTGGTGTCATTAGGCAGTATTTACTGCTTTAATGCTTGTAGGAGTAAGCAAGTGCGTAGCTGGGGTTCAGGAGAGGGCAGCAGCAGTACAGGGAGGGAGGCAGACAGAGAGATGGGGATGAAGGAGGGAGGGATTGCTCTGGGAAGGATTGCACTCGGGAGGTGGTTGGGGTGGGAGACCTCAGGAGTGGCTTGGGCAGGGTGGCTTGTGTCCCCCTAGCCTGCCAGCTGGGAGATGCCCCATGTCCCAAAGATGCAGCTGCTCCACTGGGCACAAGGATCATCACACCTCACCCCCCCCACACACACCTGCAGCAGCCTGGGAGGGGGCTGGCTTTTAACTGGACCCCACCGTCCATGCCAGGCCCCAGGAGCCCTCTGGGCACCCCGGCCCCTTGCTGAGCTGTGCCGAATTAGGGGACAATGGGTTTTGTTTCTGCCTGCCCAGCTGGAAAACACCCGTGGCCCTGCCACGGCCACCAGGCTGGAGGCGCGTTGAATGGAGGCCCTTCCTTATCATGTCTCCAGGCTGTTTGCTCACCAGAGCTGTGAGTGCTTAAGGAGTAGCACTGTCACCCATTGCATCTTGGTGCCACCCTGGGGGGGATGCTCAGCATGGGGAGGTGGTGGGGCTGATTGGCAGCAGGTGCCTCCCTCTCCCCTGCCTCTCCTTACAGGTTTTCACCTGGGGCTGCTCCTCTCCTGGCAGCGAGCTCCTGCTTCCCTCAGCCCACTGGTGAAGAAATCATAGGCAGTTGCCTGACTTTATCTTGGCAGGTCGGGTTGCGCGAGGAAGCAGAGGGATGACCGGGTGCTGAAGGTCTGCGTGGCTCCCTGCAAGCGGTGAGGTGCCAGCTGGATATCTGTGCCACAGGCAGAGCTCAGGAGGGTATTGCGGCCCACTCCTTCCCCACCTCGACCCAGCCAGGCTCAGGCCATCAGGTGAGCATCACCTCTGCCCTGCCACCTCGTCCTGAAACGCAGGGCAGGGCACCGAAATCCTGGGGGATTACTATCAGGAGTCTTACAAGCAGCAACCAGAGAACACTCACTCCCAAAAAGGGTCTGCCAGCAGCTCTTCAGCCAGGACCCTGCTCAAGGGTCAGCCAGGGCCAGCAAAGGAACAGCCAAACTAAAACGGTCCCTGAGCTATGCGCTGATCTTGGCAACCGGCTGAGATGCTTTTTTTGACTATCAGAGAATCCAGGGTCACTGTAGTCTCATTATAACTGGATTCACAGGAGCCTGTAGTGGTTTTTTTTCCACCATTGGCTAATAGGTTAATAACCTGCTGGCACAGCATCTTCTGTGTTTCCCTCCGTGTGACTGATTAAAATGCCCCCTTCTCCCCCTTTCCCAATATGGCTGTGCTCCGCTGCCTTGTCACACGTGCAGAGAATAGGACACAGTTGCTAATCTGCTTGCCACTCCACTCCCGCCTGCCTGCCTGCTCTGCCTTTTAAACACACTGGCTCTCTGTTTCTCTGCTCCCTGGTGCCGAGGCTCTCTGAGCTGAGTTGTCCATGCCTTCCTCTGAAATGGTGTGGGCAGCACCCCATGCAGGGAAACTCTGTGGGTCATGCATGCAAAGGGAAGGGCGTTTTGCAATGCAAAGGGGAACTGGATAGCATGTAGCTCCTGACCTCAGCGCAGCTGCAGGTGGATGGCCTCACCATGCCTCAGTTTCCCTTGCCTCAGGCACAGGCACATTAGAGGGAAAAGGAAATCTCACTGCAGAGGAGGGATGGTGGGTTAATTAATGTATGGTTGCAAAGTGCTTGCAAATCTCCAAGGAAAATGGTCGACGTGGGTGCCAAGTGTAAAGGATTCTGGAAACACTAAGTGCCTGCAAATGCTGGCTAGCTCCTCAGGACCTAAAACTCAAATATTGCCCAAGAGGCACCAAAAATATTCCTTCAGCTCATGTGATGCATTATCCACTGCCTGGAATAAATCTCCCTTTTTGCTCTTGCTTTCCAAACCAGCTGTTTGTTTGTTTTCCCCTTTTGGATTTCATAGCTTTAGTTAAAGCAGGCAATTGCTCCAAGGGCGGGGGGTGGTGGTGTAAAAAAAGCAGCTTTTGTGAAAGGTTTGGCAGCAAGTGTCTTTGAAGGGAGAGCACTTCAGCATTTTGCCTGTTTGTTCTGCCTGTTTCAAACTAGCTGTGGGTTCCAGGTGACAGCGACGTAGTGCCTGCAGCGCACGTTTGAGATTTCAGAAGAAAACTCAAAGGGCTGGGCAGCTTGAGCCCCATCAACACATCCTGGGAAGCATGTCTGTGGGACTCCCAGCCTTATGTAAGGGAGAGGCTTTGCTGGCCGCTGTCCTCCTGGAAAGCAGGGCTTTGCCTTCTCCCTTTACTCTGGGGAGCACAGCAATCTGCCAACAGCAGCATCGTGTTTTGGCACCATGCTGCTGTTTTGGAGATGGAGAGGGTGAGAATGCAGCGAGTCCCTGGACCCCACTCAAGGCTGCCTTTTTCTCCTTGCCCAAATTACACAGGGGAGAAACACCTAACTGTGTGCTGTACAGTGGTGGGCCCAGCACCAGTGCTGGGCAAAGCACAGCTGTTTCCAGTTTTGGAGCAGAAACCGTTTTTGTAGCTGCTTGCTTCTTCTCTAGGAGGTTTGTTTTTGTACACACGGAGGTGAAGATGATAACATGAGAGTCACTTGGGAGCAGAAGGCTTTGCAAAGGCAACACACTTCATCAAGATGAAGCAAGGCAGCTTGGCCCAGCATCAAGGGCTTGTGTTTGCTGGGCAATAAATGAGTCGTCACTGGCTGTGCAATTTGTTATCTTCCCTTGCAGAGGAGGTGTCACCCCCCTGCGACTGCATGCTGCCATTGGCACTACGCAGCCCAAGGACCTGCACTGCTCTTGAGAGCAGGCATGCTCCCTGGGGGGCTGAAGTGCCTCTCCTGAGAAGAGAACCTTGAGAGAGATGTGTACTGTCCTGCACCTGCCAGGGTTGGATTTTAAAGGACACTCGTGCTCTTCCAACCTTAGCCTTCCTCACCCCGCAGTGTCTTGCTCACTCCTGGTCTCCTGCTTGCCTGAAAGAAGACATCATTAAACCCCCGTCCTGCAGGCCGACGGTGGGGGGGGTACGCAGGTCTGTGCGGCCCATGCTGTATTTAAGAGCTGGAAGCTGCCTTTCTCCACTGCCTCCCCTCGGGTCCATCTGCTGGCCTCCTGTCTGCCTGCGGTCACTGGTGGCTGAGACTCTGTTCAATGCTAATGGATTTGAAATCCCCTGTCTCCAGTGAGAGACGTCTTTATTGAGGGATGTTGATTCCAGTGCTTGGGGGAGCGGCTGTGCAGACAGGACCAGAGCTGTGAATTAGAGAACATTTAAGCCTGTACTTTGGTGATGGTAAGTGCTATGCACCCTGCTGTTGAAAGCCTGGGGTGAGGCAGTGGCTACACCCACACCCACCCTGTCCTGAAGCGGAGACTTCCTGGAATATCCACTCAAAGGTAAATTTTGTGGTGTTTCTCCTCATGATGACATGATCTGAGGCTATAAGGATGCTGAGAGCCTTGTCCTGGCTTCTGAAAGCACAGTGGCACTTTGGCTGGGCACCGCCAGTCTGGACCCTGTGCTCAAGTTCCTGGGGGAATTTGTTCTCACAGCTTTTAGCCTGTCCTAAAGTTGGAGCTTAGAAAAATAAAATTATAGAGATGCTCAAATTTTAGCTCATGCTGCTAAGCAGCAAGTGTGGACATGCCGAGGAGAAACATGGGGCCCAAGGTGCCATGGCATCTGTGTCCAAGGGATTGCCAAGGAGGCTCGAGGGCTTCTGTGGGTGACAGTGTGGTACATCTCAAAGCTAGAGAGGAGGTGGTGTGAGACATGCTGAAGCAGGCAACCTTGCTTTTCTATTTGGTTTTTGCAGAAGAGATAGGAGGTAGGAGAGAAGAGACAAGGTGAGGCGAGTGGACAGAGGAGACGTTTTGTCTCTGTTGTGGCTTAACTAGAAGACCTTTCAGATCAGAATGGCTTTGGGAAAATGGGATGAGGAAAGGCAGGCCCAGGACTTGGATTCATCATTGCCTGGGGGACACAGAAGGAGCTTTAATTGGAGATGAGAGCTTTTAAATTTAATTTTATCTGATATGAATCTTACATTTAAGAAAAGAGCCTCCTGTCTTACTATATGACAACATTTCTGGTGCTCACTTCATGTTTTTAGTGTACCCTGCTGACTTCAGAAGCCCACGACGAATATCTAGCAGAAGCACAGAGGGAGAGATCCAGCTGCAGAGTCTGTTACCAAGCAGATCAGTGAAGAGGTCTCTTCCTGAGGGTGACAGTCTGCAGTGTCATAGTTGCAGCTCAGAAAGCACTGGTAGCTGTCTCAGCCCTGTTCCCATTGCCGTTTTTTGGGGGGGCGTTAAGGACTTTTTGCTTACGAGGCAATGTTTTGTAGGTCTGTCTTAAAATACAAGCTTGGTGCTTGGATTCTGCAGGGAGACGTGTGTTAGAGATCATCGCACTGAAAGATCGTGAGGATGGGAATATGCCAGAGCTTTCGGGGGTGTTTTAACTTCTGGTTTTAATTTCTAAACCAAACTGATCTCCATCTGCAGAGAATTTTCCAAGATTGTTCAGTAATGGAACAAGCGTTTTCATGGTCAAAGCTGCTACAGGGACTTCCTGGTGCTGCTGCCTGGGGCCGCACAGCAGAGGTGAATGGAGAGAGCCAGGAGGGCCCTGTGTTCCCGGTGGAGGAACCTTTAAACACCCGGCTTTATAAAAAAACATTTCTGCCGCTGTTTAACTGCACAGATATGAGGTGGAATTCAGGTGCACTCCGTGTACTTTCCTTTGCTGGGGGACAAAGTACCCTGAGGACTTCCACAAGTCTGCACTTCAGTTAAAGGACAGGCTTTTATCACAGCGGAGTAGATACCTATTCCAGACAGATAGGAGCCTGGAGACGGCAGCCTGAAAGAACACAGAGTTTGTGCCTGCCCTTTGGGTGCTGCATACACATGGTATCTATATCCTCTGAATATAGGCTAATTGCTAAGTATCAGAGGGCTCTACACACTGCCTGCCGCCCTGGTAGCACCACCCTGAATACCCAGTACAAAAGGCTGTCTTTAACTCTACTCATGGAATCATAGGATGGTTTGGGTTGGAAGGGACCTTAAAGATCATCTAGTTCCAATCCCCCTGCCATGGGCAAGGATGTCAGCCACTAGATCACTAATTCAAGACAGTTTTACATATATACATATGTATATATACACATGAACACATTTATGTTTTTATATATATGTGTGTGAGTATATGTGTTTGTATATATACACACATCTATATATACATATATATATATATATATATATATATATAAATGTCTGTATATTACACGCTTAAGTGGTGATTGCCAGCAGAGAGGGTTTTTCTCTGGATTAGAACGCAGCATGGGGGACAAGTGAAGGACCTTGCGAACAGGGCCAGTTCACACTCCAGTCAGAGCCATGATTTAATGCATAGCTCCTTTTAGAGCTATAGTAGATACTAACGCAAATCCGGCGCTGGGTGCAGCTCCGGAGTTAGAGCGGGGGTTTCGGTAGCCGCCGAGCCGTGGGCCGGTGGGATTTCCCGCCAGCTGCGGGGCGTGGAGACGTGGTAGGCGCGGAAAGGGGGGGAGCCAGGGGCGGGCAAGGCCGGGAGAGGGGACGGCAGCAGAGCGCGGGGCGGCGCGGAGAGCGCGGCGCAGGTGGGTTCGGGCTGAGGCGCGCACGGCTGCCCGTGCCGGGGTCGCGGCTGCTCTTACCCCTTCTCTCCCGGGGGCGAGGGGGGACGGGGAGGGGGCGGGAGGCGGAAAATCCACCGCCTCTCCCACGCGGGGACCGCGTGGCACTGAAGGCGGCAAAAGAGCGGAGGAGGAGTTTACAGAGCGGGAGGGAGGCGGCGGTTTCCCATCCGC